GGCTATATCTGCGTGGTCTAACGAGACCTGTCTTTGTCTGGCCCATTGTAGCTGTATCTATGGTCAATCGAGACCTGTCTACACCTGTATCTATGGTCTATCAAGATTTCTCTATGTCTGGCCTATCGTGGTCGTATCTGTGGTATATGGAGACTTGTCTACGTCTGGCTATAGCGGCCGTATCTGTGGTCTAACGAGACCTGTCTATGTCTGGCCTATGGGCTATACGTATGCATAAGTTCTGCATTTCAGTTTCCGGTTGGGAAGATTAAAGCGGAGGAAAACCGAAGAAACGGGATTATGGCAGAGTCTTCAAAATTTACTGTCCTCTCGTCTTTGAAACGAAACCTTCATATGTTCAAATGTAAATCATGCTAATTATCTCCATTTTCTTTTAGGAACATTCAGGATTCATGACCGGTGGGTATACTTTCGTTCATCAATTTTGGGGGGTAGGCTGGCCCCGTCCCGATGGATCCACAATCCACCTACTTTTGGGGGATCGGCTGCGCCCCTGCCTTCGTTTTCAGCCAGGAAACGCTGATCCGCTACCCTCGGATTACGATCTACGGACGGGGCCTACGCCAAAGAACTTTGAAAATAATTGCTTGCCGGGCCGTCAATAAATGGATGCTCGTTACAAACTTTTCTTTATTTATTTACTGAATGGTCTCCCAATGACTAAGCACTGGTTCAGATCTTATCTAGCTTCAGTCTTAACGCTTCGCGGTCTGTCTCCACATCATTACACTGGGCATTCCTTTCGCATCGGAGCCGCTACATCAGCGGCTGAATGCGGTGTTCCCGACTCCACTATCCAAATGCTCGGCAGATGGTCATCTTCAGCATTCAAGACCTACATCAGATCCGACATCCATGTTCTGCTAAATGCTCAACAAGCCCTCTCAAATCACGTTCAAGGTAAATTCTTCGCTAGCTACTGGTGGTGGTGGTTGATTCGTATCATGCGTTCGATTTTCGCTGATTACACATTTAATCTCGGTTTTCCGGCTTTAATTCTTTCTTCACAATTAACTTAGCCCTTAGCTGAGTATTTTAGATTAGCTTTGCTGGGAAATACTTTAATAATGCTTAAGGTTAATCGTATACCTACTTGCTTATGTCTATCGTTATTTTCTCTTCAGAAAGCGCAATACGGTTAGCCTATCGCTGCTCCCGAAACTCTACGATCACTAGCATTTAAGGCTATCTCGGCCTTGTATTAATGCATATTACATTCAATCTCGATCCAGACGCTTGAACTAAGCCTATCGAGGCATCAGCCTATCGAGGCATCAGCCTATCGAGGCATCAGCCTATCGAGGCATTATTGAGGCATTAGCCAATCGTGGCTTTAGTCAATCGTGGCTTATTAAATAAACGCGTATTACATTTAATCTCGGTTCTGACGCATGAACAAAGCCTTACGAGGCACCAGCCTATCGAGGCATTAGCTAATCGTGGCTATTTCATAAACGTATTTAATCTCGGTTCTGACGCATGAACAAAGCCTTACGAGGCACCAGCCTATCGAGGCATTAGCTAATCGTGGCTATTTCATAAACGTATTTAATCTCTGTTCTGACGCATAAACTAAGCCTATCGAGGCTTCAGCATATCGGGGCTTCAGCCTATCGAGGCATCAGCCATTGAGGCATCAGCCAATCGTGGCTTTAGCCAATCGTGGCTTATTACAATAAAGCATATTACATTTAACCTCGGTTCTGACGCATGAACAAAGCCTAACAAAGCACCAGCCTATCGAGGCATTATAATCGTAGCTATTTCATGAACGTATTTAATCTCCGTTCCGACGCATAAACTAAGCCTATCGAGGCATTAGCCTAGCGTGGCTTAATCCATAAAAACGCATATTAACTTTAATCGCGGTCTGACATGAAATAAGCCCATCAAGGCCAGCCTACCGAAGCATCAGCCTAACAAGGCATCAGCCTATCGAGGCATTATTAAGGCTTCATCGAACAGCTTTTATGATTACTTTTAAGCCAAGTATAATGGCTAATCGCGGCTTATACATCAATTCACACCAAAGATGGCCTGGATATTTTTATTCCTATCTATTATCTCGGCCTGTCGTGGCCAAACAAGTCATGGACTGATGTATATGCTATTCAATTTAGTTTTTATAAATAGTACCGGTCTTTATAAGATTAGCAATAGAAAGTTGCCCTATTGTCTTCCATTTATTAATTCTCTGCATGCCTTTCAGACGGCTCATTAGCCGCATATTAGTCACTTTAAACTGAAGGTCATCACGGACCAAAATTTTAACTTCCCCACATATGGTTATATTTTCGTAGCAATATCATACGTAATAATTCGTATGCATGATCTCGGCCTATCGAGGCATTGTAATCTAACGAGATTCACGAATAAGCAAAGCTAGGTTCTGAGGCAACCGTAGCTGCCGATGATACCACATATCAAAGGTTCCATATAATCTCTACTCGTTTTCGCCAGTCGTAGCTTCAGTTCTTTTAGGATTCGTATCATACCAGAGCACAGTTTACCATTAACTTCATTTCCACTCTCGCTATTAATTTCATCATGGCTCCAACCGCACGTCAGATACGCATTAAGGCTTTTCTCGAAGTCTTATTAGCTTTTACATGGTCTAACTTCCCTGCTTACTTCCAGAATTCTTTAGGTACGTATGGAATTCATCTCATATTCCTTAATTGTTGGGGGTATAGGCTCCGCCCAGCCTAGACTATCCGACAGGACCTACCGGTCAATTCACAGACCCAGACGGATGATGGAGCCCACGCCAATGAACTGAGATGGAGCTTGTCGAGTTTCTACTTTATTTGTCTGTATTCTTGTAAAATAAATTTATTTCATTCAATAATTCTCCCGAGTCTTTCTGGTAGAAATGGAAGCGTCAGCGTAAGTTCTACCAGGAAGACTCTTTTTCAACGTCACTAATTGGTAATTCCAAGTTACCAATCACGGCTCTACATCAAATATAAAAGGCTGACCTTACCTTCCCCTTTCGTTGCGTAGGTGTCGCAGAAAAGTTTCTCCCCCATCCTCCCCACCACCACCAGGTCGGCTCCTGCCCATCCGTCGGGGGTATAGGCTCCGCCCAGCCTAGACTATCCGACAGGACCTACCGGTCAATTCACAGACCCAGACGGATGATGGAGCCCACGCCAATGAACTGAGATGGAGCTTGTCGAGTTTCTACTTTATTTGTCTGTATTCTTGTAAAATAAATTTATTTCATTCAATAATTCTCCCGAGTCTTTCTGGTAGAACTAAAAAGTAGCGGCTGTAAAACCCTGTGGAGGAATATGCTATATAGCCTCCTTTGCCAGCAGGGAGTTTACTTCCTGTTCCAATACCTGACCCTACACTGGGTCGACTACAGTCCAGAAAACCCTGTTGAACCTGGGTGGACGGGAACTGAACTGCAGCCTGTGCCCATTCTGAATGGTGCGCAGGGCCCAAGGAGAAATATTCGTCAGATTTTTTCATTCATCGAAATATTTTACTTTCGCCACCCACAGAGAATCTAGACTGGCTTGGATCTCTTTGACAAAGCCTTTTTCGCCTGCAGAACGGCCCTCAGGTCACCCTGCTTTTGTTGAGGCTTTGTCTGAGAGTGCCGTCTATGCCCCCAGGCTCCTTGGGGGGGGGGGCGGGGGGGGGTTCTAGACGAAACGCTCTCTCTCTGTGCCTGTCTATTGGCAGAGGAGCTGGTGAATGGCTGTGGCTGCGGCTGCCCACTGGGGGGAAATTTCTTAGATTTGGAGCGGCGAGCGAGATATTGTTTGAAGGCCGCAGACTGTTTCTTCACCTCCTGGAACCTGTTGACGATGGTATTTACGGCATCGCCGAACAGGCCAGAAGGCGAAATCGAGGAAAGCATCAAGAAGGAAAGCACAGTCTTTCTCCCTGATGCCCGATAAATTTAACCAAGGATGCCAGGCCTCTCTGAGACCATCATAGCCGCCATGGAACGGCCAATAGCAAGGGCCGTCTCCTTGGTGACTCCGAGAGACAGGTTGTGCAACTCGTTGTGCAAATTGGGAAAGAACGTCAAACCCCGGTGATGAGGTTGCTCTCTGACAGCTCAAGTATCAGGTCCTCGATTCGAGCGGAAGAAACCGCGGGGCGGGCTTCCGCAAGAGGCTCGAGGACATCGGAACCGTCAGAAGAATCCCGAGAAGGTGCCTCAGCAGCCTCGGGATCCCCTGACAGATCCATCTGCGAGCCACATGAAGAGTGCCGCCGCGCCACCTCGGGAGACGTGGGTCCCGCACAATGGGGCCCATGAGCCTGGCCATCCTCATTAAAGATGGCCAAGTGGGAACGCAGCACACGGATCGATAAACGTTCACAATCCTTGCAAGCAGCCCCCTCGAGAGCTGCCTGCACGTGCTGCATTCCCAAACAGTGTGTGTACAGTCATGTGTCCCCACCCGTAGAGAGGGCAGGGATGCACACACTTCCTGAAACTCGCACTCGCCATCATGCAATATAATGCTTGTCATTTGACAAACAACACCAAATAGGACGTACAAACAGAGAGCGCTTGCTGAAGAACAGAAAGCTGACATCTCATGTGTGCCGGCATCCCTTTATAGCTTCCGCTTGTATGTCGTCACACATTACGTCATGACGCAACACCAATCAGAGATTGGCTTAGTTTCATTCATGCTTCAGAGACGCTACGCTGAGGGGCGTTCCCCCAAAGTGTCATTCGACGCAGTTCAAGTTCCCTCAAAAGAAAACTAAGGCTGGAAATGTTATATGGTGTAAACCACATTACCACCTGTGTAATTCTCTAGGGGCGCTTTGAAAAAGGGAAAAGACATTTCTTTGTTTTAGCCCCTGCATTAAATCGTGTTATTACTCTTCCAGGACCATGAACAATGATTAACCTGACCACACTCAGATCCGTAGATATTTTGTCAGGTTGCTACCGAATATGTTGTTAAATGATAAATCTTTAAATGTCTTTAAATAATTACAAGGGAGAACAGGGGGAACCAGGAGCATCAGGCCTAAAAGGTTCAAAGGTCAGTCTTATTTCCTCAGTAATCCATGCATAAGAAAGTTAAAAACAATTCATATTTGAAGCTAAAATATTAAAACAAGGAACATGTGTGTGTTACTATAAGAAGTTAAAAAAAAAATCTACTGTCTTAAATGACTAAATATAATCTCTGTCCATATTTTACAATTACAGGGGGATCCAGGAGACAAAGGTGGTGAAGGCCCAACAGGATCACAAGTGAGTAAAGTTTACAAATGTCTAAAAGTGACTTTTTGACAACTCTGACTAGCAAATGCAACACTGACCTATTAATTAGCTTTATTCTGACATCAGTTGATTGCTGTGGAGTATAAAATTCATCATTATCTTTCAGAGTGTAAAATAGAGTATACAGAATTGAATGAATATTCAATGAAGAGTATACAGAATTGAATATTCTCCCAAATATGAACTTGTCATGCTGACGTAATTGGGTGGTTGCTCTTGACTGAATGAAACCAGAAAGGGCAGGATTTATTGATTCCTCCATGGCATTATGCAAAAAAACAAGTTGTCAAATAAGCCAAAGTCAGTAAATACATGACTGTGCAATGAAAAATAACTGTGATGAAGTTCCTGAAGTAAAGTTCTCACATGAAAGGACTGTAAAGCTGTTAAAGGAATTCATATTTTGTGATGGTGTGAAGTTATAATTTGAAATATTGGTAAGACTTTACAATAAGTTTAATTATTTAACATTAGTTAACTACAGTTTGCATAAACTGCACTTAGACAGCATTTATTAATCTTTGTTATGTTAATTTCAAAAATGTACTAATACCTTAATGCCCTGAGAACTTACATGAACAGATGAACATATTTATTTTTATTAACATTAACAAAGATGAATAAATACATGAATTTACTTATTTATAGTTCATGACACTTAAAGCCACAATATGTATTTTTTCTGCTTTAAAAATAGCAAAAATAACTGTATCTATGTTATATATTTCTATTAGATGTGTACTTACATTAACCCCGACAGTTTCCACCAACTTTCAAATACGAAGAAATTTATAGTTTAATTCGAAGACACGGGAGGTTTTTTTTTTTTTTTCCGTTTCGTCACCCGTCTATGGCGTCATATAACCTTTGACTCCTCTATTTTCTCTAACTTCCTTGCGGAACCCGGCGAAACCGCCAAACACAAAGTGGAACACTGGACTACCGCCAATAAAGCAAAGAAAATGACGAAGAAAAAAAAGTAGTACGTATTTTTATGTGTGTAAATCACGTGCCCGCTCACGAGCGCTCACTCTTAACAGACGCTGTCCCCGGTGCTGCTCGCGCATAAATCGTTCCCCGTTCACAGTAACCGGGTCGTCTCATTCAAAACAGCCAACAATGTACGTGCCCTCTTCAGCGCGCTCATGCTTACTAAATAAACGCCTCACCTCCGGCGCCTTGCACTCACTACATTCCCTTTAGCCTTAGCACATAGTGGATGCATAACGCAAACCCAGTCAAACGTTTGACTACAGTATCTTATGTGCTTTATAATCCGGTGCGCCCTATATGAAAAAAATGTTCTAAAATAGGTAATTCATTGAAGGAGCGTAATATAAATATTTATATTCGTCTGTATTAGTTATGGACCACGATTACGCTTTGCCTGCCCGTTTTGCTGCTACAGCCAGCTCAGTAAAGCTCAAACGTACGGGTGAAAAATATGACCCGAGAAGGGTTTGGGGCAGGAGAAATAGTATGACACAGGTAAACATTGGGGTTGCATTTAAAGCTTCTCGACAAGTTAAATCTACAGAGAGGTGCCGTATATCCGTATATTTTGTGAAACGATGATGTCATGCCATGAGCTGAGCTGGTTGTCATTGAGAGCGACAACAACTCCCGTGAGCCCACGCTCTTTCCCGACGTCATCAAAGTACGTCTTTTGTTATTATTTTAAATGAGTGACCCCTGGTGGCCAAAAATCACATACTGTACGTTTAATAAATTAAATGAGTCATGTAATGCCATTTTTATACAAGTTAATTTGATTCTTTAGGGCCTAAATGAAAAGTTTGTAATATACTTTAATAAAAAATTCTCGTTAGTATTGTAAAAAAACACTCATTTTACCTGGTCCAAAACAGCTGTTTTCATGCCTTTAAATGGTTATGTGCTTCGCTCACCCCGACCTTCTGTTCTGCTGGCGTTTTGACCCAACCCATATGGAACTTTGCCTTGACAACAGTTGAGGGTATATTTTGGAGAGAGAATGGCAGCGGGAGTCTCTGAGGAAACAGTCGGACCGGAAACAAGATGACGGCCACAAAGAAGTTCGACAATTAAGGCTTGAATAGGACGAATGGTTGGTTAACATAATGTCACTTTGATCTATCTTTATGTACTGGCAGGGTAGAGTAACTTGTAAATAGGGATGGGGCCGATCCGATCCAGTATCGGGACCGATACCAGCATAATTCACGTATCGGATTTTTCCGATCCAACCTGCGGAGAAATCCGATATTTATGATCCATGTCTGCGCTTTAACGTTGTCTGCTGAAATGACTCCAAAAGTGATTCCTGCCGGGCCTGCTAGTCTGCTATAGCTGGCTGCAAACTGTGGAATGGATATCCTGAACGGAGGTGCAGCTCAATCAGTGACTGTAAAACATAGGGCTCAATGAGACACACCCCGCTCAGGAAATCCATTCCGCAGTTTGCAGCCAGCTAGCAGGATGTTCGCTGTGTGGAAATCATATGGTGGAACTGGAAACACCGCTGCAGTGCAGAGCAAGACAGCAAAGTGCAATGTTTGCAAAGCCGTATTAATTAAACTATTTGATGCATGTTTGCAATTCGCAGTCAAGAAGAGAAAGAGAGAGATCTCTCACGCGGTGCAACAACAGCAAGCACAACATGACAGCCCGGCGTAATGAGTGACGACAGAGGAAACGTAGCCTGGTTACACTTTAGATCTGTGATATTAGTCTGATTTCCAAATATTAAAGAATATATTGAGGTAAAAAAAAAAAAAAAACATTAAAAACAAATAGCCGCATTCTGTCTAGCCAACTTCCTTCCCATCGCGGCGGTGCGCTGTCATTTCTCCCTAAAACTCAAACTTTAAGACAGAATCAGCACGATCGATGATTGTAGTAAAATGCAGTCTCTGCTGTTACTAAATTGCGGGACGCTTTTAATAATAAAAAGAGCTATTGGAAAGCACAAAATTTGCGCAAGAGATGCTGTTCCCAGTGCGGCGCGCTCCGAAACAGTCTGGTGAGAAATGATTTGCGCAAAAATGACAGTATTGACAATGCTCGTGGGGAATCCCCTTCGAAAACAAAACTCAGCCACTGTGTCTATAGTGGTTCAGATTTAGGAACATTAAAATGATTGCTGTGTACGTTATTACACCCAGGAACAGAACACCACAAGCGCTTAAACGTCATTCGGCTCCAGCGTATCAGCAATGACGTAGTGTACTTCCGTGTAAGTATAAGGGAACAATATGTTAAGTTTGGGGTAATAAAGGGGTAACAAGCAGATATACAACCTGCAAATAACTTCGTAAGTACACTGAAATTACGGTGTATATTTCTGTAATTATGGTGTACTTCAGTGTAGGTATAAGGGAACAATATGTTAAGTTTAGGGTAATAAGGGGGTAACAAGCAGATGTACAAGCAAATTATTTAATTAGTTAAAAAATAACAGGTACCTATTCTGTTAATATATTCCAGGCAAAGATTGTACGTCTGTTTTTTATAAAATGTATCACATTTCTGGCAAAACATGTTCAGGATAATTTTGACATCTGTGGGTTGAAAATTAAACACACACACACATATATATATATATATATATATATATACGTATATATATATATATATATATATATATATATATACACTCACCGGCCACTTTATTAGGTACCCCATGCTAGTAACGGGTTGGACCCCCTTTTGCCTTCAGAACTGCCTCACTTCTTCGTGGCATAGATTCAACAAGGTGCTGGAAGCATTCCTCAGGGAGTTTGGTCCATATTGACATGATGACATCACACAGTTGCGCAGATTTGTCGGCTGCACATCCATGATGCGAATCTCCCGTTCCACCACATCCCAAAGATGCTCTATTGGATTGAGATCTGGTGACTGTGGAGGCCATTTGAGTACAGCGAACTCATTGTCATGTTCAAGAAACCAGTCTGAGATGATTCCAGCTTTATGACATGGCGCATTATCCTGCTGAAAGTAGCCATCAGAAGTTGGGTACATTGTGGTCATAAAGGGATGGACATGGTCAGAAACAATGCTCAGGTAGGCTGTGGCGTTGCAACGATGCTCAATTGGTACCAAGGGGCCCAAAGAGTGCCAAGAAAATATTCCCCACACCATGACACCACCACCACCAGCCTGAACCGTTGATACAAGGCAGGATGGAGCCATGCTTTCATGTTGTAGACGCCAAATTCTGACCCTACCATCCGAATGTCGCAGCAGAAATCGAGACTCATCAGACCAGGCAACGTTTTTCCAATCTTCTATTGTCCAATTTCGATGAGCTTGTGCAAATTGTAGCCTCAGTTTCCTGTTCTTAGCTGAAAGGAGTGGCACCCGGTGTGGTCTTCTGCTGCTGTAGCCCATCTGCCTCAAAGTTCGACGTACTGTGCGTTCAGAGATGCTCTTCTGCCCACCTTGGTTGTAACGGGTGGTTATTTGAGTCACTGTTGCCCTTCTATCAGCTCGAACCAGTCTGGCCATTCTCCTCTGACCTCTGGCATCAACAAGGCATTTCCGCCAACAGAACTGCCGCTCACTGGATGTTTTTTCTTTTTCGGACCATTCTCTGTAAACCCTAGAGATGGTTGTGCGTGAAAATCCCAGTAGATTAGCAGTTTCTGAAATACTCAGACCAGCCCTTCTGGCACCAACAATCATGCCACGTTCAAAGTCACTCAAATCACCTTTCTTCCCCATACTGATGCTCGTTTGAACTGCAGGAGATTGTCTTGACCATGTCTACATGCCTAAATGCACTGAGTTGCCGCCATGTGATTGGCTGCTTAGAAATTAAGTGTTAACGAGCAGTTGGACAGGTGTACCTAATAAAGTGGCCGGTGAGTGTATATATTGGATTTTCTTAGATTACTAGTCCAAATAATTTGTTTCTGCTATGATTTTAATTTAGACCGTACCATGTGGTAATTAGTCCTTACCTTATCCCATTGAATTGCAATGACACT